AAGCTTTCCAATGGCAGCCTAGATCTAGAGGGCGTGTAGGAAGGTAGAATTTTCACTGAGTAGTATCCAATCTGTCTGGGCAGGGCTGATTAGCGGAGATGGGGATAGCACTCATGTGGTACAACAGTGAATAATTGCTCTCAGGACCGACAGTGAGGGTTGGAAATGTAAAGGTAGACGTTTTGTAGCAAAAGGAGGGAAGTGGTTGACTTTGCAGTACATGAGTACAGGAGTGGAGGCCCCTGGGACCATCAAGGGAGAAGAGTGGAGTGTGGGACCCCACCCAGAGAAACAGTGACGCCAGAGATGGAGGCAGAGACTATGACATGGAGAGATGGAGAGGCTGTGTCTTTAGACCCACAGAGGGAAGAGGGGCTTTGTACTGACCATAAGGGGGAAGTCTTGCAGGTATATCCTTTGGTTGGCTGATGATGCACGGAGGGAATTGTAACCATGGTGATGAAATATACGATAGGATGAATGTAACGCTAATTGTCTCCCACATAAACTATCACATAGTTCATAATATAACATTTTTTTAAAAAATTTAGGAAAGGTGTGTGAAAGGGTTGTATTCTTTCAACATAGCAATGGTGTGTGCCAGGGTTGTATTCTTTCACCATACTTATTCAATGTGTATACTGAGCAACTAATTAGAGAAGTTGGATTATATGAAGAAAGCGTGATGTCAGGGTTAGAGGAAAACTCATTAACAACTTAGGATATTCAGGTGATACAACCTTGCTTGCTGAAAGCAAAGAGGAATTAAAATACTTACTGGTGAAGATTAAAGACCACAGTCTTCACACTATGGGTTGCACTTCAATGTAAACAAAACAAAAATCCTTATCATTGGACCAATAAATAACATCAAGATAATGGAGAAAAGATTGAAGTTGTCAATGACTTCATTTTGCTTGGACCAACCATCAACACTCATTGAAACAGCAGTCAAGAAATCAAATGACACATTGCATTAAGCATATCTGTTGCACCTCTTTTCAAAGTGTTCCAAAGCAAAGATGTCAGTTTGAAAATTAAAGTGCACCTAACCCGGGCCATGGTATTTTCAATAACCTCATGTGTATGTGAAAGTTGGATTGTAAATAAAGAAGACCATAGAAGAACTGATGCACTTGAATTAAGGTGATGGTAGAGAATATTACAAGTACCATGGACCACCAAAAGAACACACAAATCTGTGTTGGAAGAAGCACAGCCAGACTGCCCAGACTTCGTCTCTCATACTTGGGGTATATTAGCAGAAGGACATCATGTCTAGTAAAGTAGAGAATGAGCTAAAAAGAGAAAGATTCCCGGTGAGAAGAGCTGGCACAGAGGCAACAGCAATGGGCTCAAGAGTGTCACAGACTGTGAGGTTGGTGATGGACCAGACAGGGTTTCTTTCTGTTGTCCGTACGGTTGTTATGAGTAGGTGCCGACTCGAAGGCACCTAACAAAAACAACAGCAAAACTATTCATGAAAAATGTCTTCAAATAACATAACCAAATTTTAAAACTGTTCCTTTCTTTGTGAGATGGATTTGCAAGAGATGGACAGAGAGGGCCTTCCCTTACCTGTCACACAGCGGAGTACTGTTCCCTTTGGAAATCTGTTCCATTTTATAATTATAAGCCAGAATAAACAGATTGCGTTGAAAACTACTCATGCCATTTACTTTATTCATGACGTTTTTGTAGATCCGATCCATGATTTCCTAGATGTAAAAAGGTGTTCATATAGTTAATGATGGTATCAGCTGTTTTTTGAATCTTAACACCAGATTTACATTTCTACCTATATAAGGCTATTGTTTTAAAAAAAATCAAAGAAGACCAAATACTTAAACTAAAGTCATAACTCGGTTAAAACTGAGAACTTTGCAAACAAAAATTGGTTTGGTATTTAAAAAAGAAAAAAAAAACCTGGATAGAAATATGAGTAAGACATAAGAGAAACATAAGTCTTGGTAAAAGACCAGGTCATTACTGATTCTTTAGAATGCTTTGCTCATTTCTTATTTATTCTGAACACTAAATAAACAAACACTACCCTATATGGTTTCTAAATCTCACAACTTTATCTTATAAATGAAAGGGTTTATGACTACTTTATTTTATATACACTAAAGGATTACCACATTCTTTATTCATGAAAGGGCTGTGGATTTATTTGTTTTGAGTTTTAATGCTGCACCCACGAAATGCTTCTTGTCTACATTACACCTTACTTGTCTACATTAAACTTACTATGCAAGTTTAATGACTTGAAATATTTTTCCTATATAATTTCAAATGACAGGTACTTTTTAGCTGACCTAAGAATTTGATTTCTGGTGTGCTGCTGTAGGATATACACTGGACTGATAACCACAAAGGCAGTGGTTAAAACCCACCAGCCAAAATTCTATCCAGTGTGCCTATGAGTCGGAAGTGACATGGTGGCACTTAAGAGCAACAACTACTACTTAGTAAGGAATCTTGGTGGGGCGCTGTAGGATGAGCACTGGGCTGCTGTCTAGACCAGGTTTCCCTTGAGAACTCAGGAGACAATAATACAATTCCTTTACAAGGGGTGGCCTTAAACCTTCCTTTCCATCTCCTACTGGCTTCAGCTTTACATTCATCAGCAAGCAGATATCATGAAAATAATGTTAACAAGCAATTTAGGGAAAGGAGTGGATAGTATCATGACAGATGGAACTATAAATGGAATGCTTAATAAATAAGATTTTAAAAAACATTAAAAAAATAATAAATGAAGTTAAACAAGATCAAATAAATCCCACAGGGCTTATGGCAATAGAGAGACTGCCCAGGAATAAATCTACATATACTACGTTGACAACAACATCCTTTCTCTGAGCACTGATGCTCTGTAGTAAGGACCAGGACCATTGTGCTAGGACTCAATAGTCAGTACTAGTCAGCCTTACCGGAACAGCTGCCATGAGTGTGGGTCTCAACACAGACGTATCCCCTTTGCTTCCTTTTTTTATTTTTGAAGACTACAGAGGGAGAAAAAGAGCCACATAAATGATTCTTATTTTAAAATTCAAGAATTCTTAGGTCAAAGAGCACATTATAAATGCATCACTTTGATTTATTCATATTTGGATAAGTCCTGGTGTAGCAGTGTATGGTTAACACTGGACTGCTAACCGCAAAATCAGCAATTCAAGCCCACAAGCCCCTCGTGGGCACCCTATATTGGATCCCGATGAGGAGGAATCTACTTGATGGTACACACAAACAAACAAGCACTTAAACAACAACAAAAACCCCACTGCCATCAAGTTAATTCCAACTGATGGTGGTGGTGGTGAGGTGCCGTGGAGTCGGTTCCCACTCATAGCAACCCCGCACAAGGTTTCCGAGGCTGTAAATCTTTATGGGAGCAAAAAGCCTCATCTTTCTCTCACGGGACAGCTGGTAGTTTCGAACTAGCTGACCTTGAGGTTAGCAGCCCGACTTCGTAACCACTATGCTACCAGAGCTCCTGAATTCCAACTGATGGTAATTCTAAAGACAGAGCAGAACTGCTCCTTAGGGTTTCTGAGACTGTAAATCTCTTTGGGAGCACACAGCGTCATCTTTCTCCCTTGAAGTGGCTGATGGGTTCGAACCGCCACTCTTGCAGTTAGCAGTCTAACACTGAACTAACTGTACCACCAGGGCTCCTTTAGAATTTAAAAGGACATGATTACTTTTTAAAAGAGCAACTGCCTCTCAGATATTTTCAAGCTTATACAGAAAAAAAATTGTTTAAAATGATTCTTTGTATCTGAAAGCACAGACATTGAATGTACCTGATCAGCTAATGTCTGTGGTGACGAGTAGCCAATGCAGCATCCATGAGAAAGACAGACCAGCTCAGCACTTAGTTCTAGAACGTGGGCCAGAGGCAAATATCCAACGTAGACATCTTCCTCACTAAAAGGAGAGACGTTAAGAAGCTGCTGCAAACTGACAAACAGGACGATGATGAAGAGCAACTCAAGCCAACCACAGGCTCCTGCCAAAACCCCTACAAAAGGCCTATGGAAGCTCCCTCAGGGCATCAACTGGGACTCCCTGCTGGTAGGACTGAGGTGGGGAAAACAGAACTACAACTCAGAGAAAACTGATGAGGACCACACTCTAAGAAAGGTGTGGTGAGCCCCAGCTGCAGGATTGTCAAGTCCTGCTTGATGGCACTTGCTAATGGTGATGGCAGCAGATCCAAGAGGCTAAGGTGGGAGGAATCAAACAACCAACCCACTGACTCAGGGGTGACTCAGGGACCCCACAGGACAGAGCAGAACTGCTCCAGACAGGTTTCAAGGCTGTCATCTTAATGGAAGCAGACAGCCACATCTTTTTCCCACAGAGCGGCTGGTGAGTTCCAACTGTCAACCTTTCAGTTAGCAATCAAACTAGTGCTTAACCACGTGTCCCATGGCTCCTGTCAGATCAGAGGGAATAGGGACGAGGGAGAAAAAAGGACTCTTTAGAAGGACAGAAAAAATCTTCCACGAAGGAAATGGTCTTTAAAGCTAATGAGCAAAATTGTTCAAATCGAGCCCACAAGTGTCTGCCAAAGAATTTGACAGACAAAATTTTCTGTACTTTGAGTTGGATTACATTATGACTCATAAAATGGATCTTAATACACATAAGAAAATGTATATGCATGGGAACATATTTGAACAACTTCCCCTGCTTTCAAAATAGAAGAGGCAACTGAGACATGCCTATAGATAGGAAACAGGTGCTTATCATCAGCCCAAACTGTCAAAGAATTGATTCCGTCTTAGGGAGTGCTTCCTTTACAAGCCTTCACACGCCACCTGGTTTCCTCCATCAGTCTTACAGCCACGTTAACATGCCCATTCATGCTACTATTGGAGTCTCGCTTACAAAAAATTGGAGACTACAAACACAGAAGCTCAACAAGTACTTACTAGACATAATGAATTACTGAGTCACCTAAATCAGAATAGATTTCGGTGAAAAAATATCAATAGGGGCAACAATACCAACTGACATGAAGAATTTACATTAAAGAATTTATAGCTATAGTCACTGAAAATGCATTTTAATGTAAAAAGTTATAACTAATATCCATTAAACGAAAAGTTGAGAATTCTACAACTATTCTGTGATTAGTTCAAATGTCTTTTTTTTATTTTTAAAGGAAATGCCTATTGTAACCAGACTTTCCTAAAGACCAGCAGCAGAGATAAACGGTGACCTACCCCAGTCCTGGAATCCGCTCCGCCATCCCTGTTATACCAGCAATGATGTTACTATGCGAGATCATGACCCCCTTTGGAAGTCCTGTGGAGCCACTTGTATACATAATCACTGCAATGTCCAAAGGTGTCGGTTTGCTCTGAGGTTGGTTTTCTGTATTGAAAAGCATGCACACATATACACTTCTGAGAAATTCAGCCACATCATTGATTTGTTTAATATGTGTTAACTCAATACAAGAAGTATTCATTGTAGGACCTTGAAGGCCACGTTTAAATAGGGGTTTGTCATCATCTGTGACAGCCTTGACAAGTTGCTAAAAAAGTTCTCTTTGCTCCACAACAGTGATATTAACTCAGTTATAACTCAGAGTCCTGGGTGAAAAGATGCGACCATGTTGCCTAAGGACCTGGTCAGCACACTAGAGACAGATGGCACAGCAGAAAGACACAGCTATGGGGTCACTGTTAACTTGTCTAAATTAATCTTGGAACGAACTTACATGTAGAGTTCAAAAACGTATTTTAAAAAACTTTTTAATGTGTTTTCTAGCTATTAGCCTTTCTTTCCTACCAACCAGATATATTTATCAAAAACTTCTTAATCTTCCTATCACTCCTCAACCCAGAGCGCCATTCTCCACCAAGCCACGCTTTGGAGACAATGCCTTCTATAATCCCTGTCACCTGACTTCTCCTGTGCTCAGGTCTGGCTAATGACTCCAGCCCTAGCAGGAGGCTCCCTTGGCTTCCACAAGCCACACCCTGTATGTTTCCTTCCTCTCTGACCCATCCTCACCGGCCTCTGCCCGTTCTCTTCAGATGATCTCACCGACTTTTACAGCTACAATGAATACCTAACTGCTTCTAGCTTCCAAATCACTTAACTGCAAACTTAATTTTTTGTACATGGAGTCCTAGTATGGTGTTGTGAGATAAGCACTAGGCTGCTAACCACCAGCCACTCCTCAGAACCCCTACACAGGGTCGCTATGAGTCCTAACAGATGTGAAGGCACTTAACAACATACTTGCATATGCCACTGCCCACTGGGCATCTCCAAAGGAAATCCCCTCCAACACCTAACATTCAACGTCCCCAAAATGAATGTCTGTGTAAGCTCACCTCAGTGAAAACCCGCTCCTCTCTGTGACCCACACTGAGGGAATCTTTATATCCAGTGACTCACTAAGTTTGCAATTGGAGAGGAATCTAGTCCCCCCTCCCAGCAGCACACCCTCCTAACGTTGATGATTATCGGAGTCGGGCTTTCAGGGTGCTAGCTGGAGGGTAGAAAACTGTCCCCTGGAAAGGGCAGCGTTGGAGCAGGGAGTAAAGGCAGGGCTGAGCTCGAGTCCCTCCAGATCTCTGGAGTACTTATAGGAATTCAGAGAAAAGCAAACTGGTGCCATTAATACAATTAACTTTTAACCATCCAAAATGACCAGAAAAGGAAGAGACTTTACTGAATAATGTAAAAGAGAAGATGGCGTAAAAGAATTTTAAATAAATATTATCTGTAGAACATTAATAAATTTATAATTCTATTTTTTCTGAACTTTTCTTTAAAGACTAAATTAAAAGTATACCTCGAGCAACCACATTTCCCAATTTGACAGTTCAGAAACCTGACTTGACACTGATGTTGTTGTTGTTAAGTGCCACCGAGTTGGTTCCAACTCAAAACAACCATGTATAGGGTTCGCGAGGAGTTACTGTTCAGTTTGAATTGCCGACCTTGCGGTTCAAACCGGCCTGGTGGTCCAGTACTCATCCTACAGTGCCACCCTAGGACTCCTAACACCAATGGGACATCGGAAATAACCAGGGAGCATGGCCGAGGACACCTAAGGGCTGCGCACACGACGTACCGACACTCGCCTTGGCCCCCAGAGCCTCCACCGCAGCCATGGTGTGTACAATGACACCTTTGGGGAACTCGGACCAGGATGGCGGTTTGCCATCCACAGTGATCACATGTCGCAGGCGTGGGACTAAAGACACGATATCCTAGAGAAACAGACAGTCATCATTTTCCTTGTGATTCTTCAGTGTCAGCAAGCAGTCCAAACAGTAAATTATTAAACTATAATAGGAAAATAATTTATCTCAAAAAAAAAAAAACCCCAGAGAGAAGAGATACACTGGCAAAATACCACTTTCCCAGACAGAAATATTGACCTGACAATTGAAAAGACTATTTTCTAGGAGTCCCGGTGGGGGGCTGTAGGATAAGCACTCGACTGCAAGCTCAGCAGTTCAAACTCACCATGCGCTCCTTGGAAATCCTATACAGGGTCGCTATGGGTCACAACTAACTCGATGACACTTACCAACAGCTGCAGCATTAAATTTAGTATGTACAGCCTTGCTTTTTGGTAAAATCTGAATCAACAAAATTACTGCCCTACACAAGGGAAATTGAAGGACAGACTGCCTGAATTACATTGTCTGTTCACAGCTTCACAGCAACCTCATGAGACTGAGTCCAGCCGCCCCGTAGGATTTTTGAAGCCATGGTTTTAGGGCCGCCGAAGTATTTCCATGTTTGCAAGAGAGTTGTCTAGAAACTAAAGAAGCCGTTTTCCCTTTAAATAAAAATTCTCAAACCTCATAATTGCTCACTCAATGCTTCAGAAACAAAGAAATTACTACTTTAAAAAAATTAGTCTCAAATTTACACTATTTACTGTTAAAAGACAAGAAAATATAAGAACGTAAGTAAGAAAAAATAGTCAAAATTATTTCAATGTAGATATAGGCATATTAACATTTCACATGTAAGTCTCTGGATGGATGCTATAGCTCAACATATGTGAAATCTAAATGAAAGAAAAACTATGCTATTTGTTACAGCTTTACAAAGATAGGAAGGGACCATGAAAGAACTAAGTATCAACAGTAGGGCTCATGACATGGAAACTTCTAAAGCATCAGACACAATCCAAACTAACACATCCCTTACCTTCAATTTTGTTTGCAAAAGTTCTTTACTAGTAATGATGTTGGTCACTTCGGTTTCATTTAATCCATGAACAATCGCTGGACCTCCCAGAGTAGCATATAACGTAACAACTAAGGGGAAAAGAAGGTTAAGTTAGATGTTCAAATATCTCATACAGCTGCTGCTAGAAGTGGAAGTGAATAATAGAGCAGAAGCCGTTGTCCAAGTGCACTGTGATCCCCAGCAGCCCTGCAGGACAGAGGAGGGCTGCTCCATAGGGTTTGCAAGGCTGTGAATCTTTACAGACTGCTGCATCGGTCTCCCCTGGAGGGCCAGCCTTTTTTGGTTAGTAATCAAGAGCTTGAAGCGCTGTGCTATGAATGCCCCTTTAATGAGCCCTGTTGGCAGTGGTGCTAAGTCAGGCTGACTCATAGCTACCCTGTCTAGGGCTCTGGGGAATGGCCGACCTTGGAGTTTGCAGTTCAGTGCTTATCCTAAAGGCCACATCAACACCCCTTAATGAAACATTTTGAACCCTAAGTTGTTAAGTTCAAAGTCAATGAGAAACAGAGCTGGGTACTTTTCTCACCTGTATCATAATATAATATAAGGAAGCTTCAAAAAAGTTCATGAAAAAATTGAATGAAAAGAACGAAAAATTTCCACAAACTTTTTGAAGCCCCTTTGATACTGATTAACATATTTACTCACCTCCACTAGACTCGTGCCCGACAAGATTTCCAACATTTAAAAACAAGTTTCAGTCCTGGTCTGGCACTATAGAATAAGCACTAAACTGCTAACCATAAGGCTGGCAAATCAAACCCACCAGCTGTTCCTTAGAAACCCTTCAAACGGTCACTATGAATCAATAACAACTCAACAGCACTCAACAACTGTTGACTATTTGGTACTATATATGAAAAACACCATATACCAATAACATAGCACACTAACTGTAATACTTAAGGTATTATGTTGTTTAGAAAACCACTGGAATACCTAAAAGAGGTTCTAGAACTTGCCCAGCGAAAAGGCCTCTTGCAGAGCCTCTGCAGAGTATAGGATCTTAGGTGGAATCCTGAGTCCCATTCAGAACCTTCTGAGGTGGGACATTCCCACTAGAAAGGACAGGGAGACCAGCCTGGAACAGCTAGAGTGACAGAAGATGCATTCTCAAAGAAAGATCATCAGGAAAAAACAAAGAACTGGTTACTACAAGAATAAGCAAGCTGTTCACTAGGAAGCCACCAAGGCAAACAATCAAGTTCCTTCAGGACAAACCCCCTCTAAGATTGAAACTAAAAGGGAACACATGAGCAGGAATGTAAGCTTGCTGGTGAGCACGTTGGTCTACTGGTGAGTGGAAGAGGTGGGGAAAGGCAGAAATGAAGAAATGGTTTGAGTTCAACCACAGTCCATTAACTCCTGTTGACATGGAGATGAGAGAGAGAAGAGGAAGGGCTGCTGGTCCAATGTGTGGTGAGACCTGGGGACACCTGAGCCCATGGACAAGGACATAGTCACAGAGGGCTAGAGCGAAGATGAAGCATCCAGCTGATATGAAGTGAGGGGAGAGGCACAAGAACACCCAAATTTGCCTAGCCTCAATGGCTTGATAATTAGAACTCAACTAGAGGAGGATTAAAAAAAAAAAAAAATTTTTTTTGATAAAGGAGACAAGGGTAAATTGCTACAATTTGATGAACCTGACCTATACTCACGGAGGTAGTAACTCAAAAGACCAACAGAGAGGGAAGGAGTCTTCACATCAAGTATCAATGCTATCTCCTCTGTACATTGGCTACCTAAAATGAGGGGGTGATAAAGCACAAAGTAACTGGCTTACAAGGTTTCAAGAGAGAGTTGAATTTAAGAATGTGTGGAGGAAGAAGGAGTCCCACGGAATAGTTGTCATCTTGTCTAGATGGGTCTGGTTAAAAGAGATGAGGATAAGATTCTTATGATTCAATCGCGAGTAACTGTTATCATGACTAATTGCAACTGTCACAATTTTGTAAAGATAGCAGTTTTGTACCAAAAATGGGGGCGCAGTTAATTTTATAGTCCAGAAACAGAGGACCCTAGGACAATTAAGGGAGAAGAGCACAAGCAGAATGTGGGACTTTATCCAGAGAAATAGTGACACCAGAGATGGAGGCAGAGATGGTGACATGGAGAGAGGGAGCAGCTGAGGACTCTAGATTCATGAAAAGAGAGGGACTAAGAGATGGTGGTCATGAGGAAGACTTGCAGAATGTGCCTTTTGGTGGTATAAATTATTATATATGCCTGAGTGTTTTGTTTTCTTTTAAAAAAGAGCTAAAGTGAATAGAGAGAAGAAATACTGTTAACTGATGGTACATGGAGGGGATTATAATCATTGTGATGAAACAAGTTGTATGATTTGTTGAATGTAAAACTGATGATGTGTCCTGTAAACTTTCACTCAATCTATTAATAAAAACTTAAAGGGAAAAAAAAACCAAAAAAAACAAACCACATGAACAAGTTCAGGTACAGCTTATTTTAAAGTGGAAAATCTAAAGAAATACATTAATGGAAATATTAAAGTTCTATAATAATGTTAGTAACAATGTGAATTTCTATTTACTTTCTGCCTAACTTAAAACTGTTAGAAATAATGTAACTTTTTGAACATGCCAATTTTTTTAAAGCTTTTCAAAAGTAACATATGCAAAGTCTGTTTACCAAAGAAGAAAGTCTACGTACGTTGAAAGTTGTACATAAAGCAAGCCTGTGCAGCAATCATCCACTCAGCCCTCGTCTCACAGAAGATGGCAATGTTGGTCTTTGGTTTCTGACCCAACATCTGTAAGCCATTTCCAAAATTAAAGGCTCGAATGAAGACATCTTCATAGGAAAGCCAATTGTAGCATCCAAGAATAACCTGATAAAACAAAATACAAACAGCTTTTAATGTAACTAAAGTATCTATTTACAGAGAGAACTCAGGATATTTCAAATTTTATGACAAAAGTTATGCTTGCATAGAATCAAAGCTGTTGTGTTTTTCCCTAATGAAACACTAGGAAGTAAATCTATTTCTTTAAAATCCGCTAGTTGGTGACACCTATGACACTCAAAAACCTTATGCTAAATTTCTCGCAGCTGGAGTTTTCTGTGGAGGCGCTGCTGCTTTGTTTTCATTTCCCAAATATATTTACAGTTTGATGGAATCTTAAAGGTCAGCTTCTTGGCCAAATGGTCATATACTAATAGTGACAACAGGTTTCAGTAACTTAAGTGATTGGAGTGTTAATTTAAAATCTTGTGTAGTAACAAGTACTACTAATAGCAAATTTTACTTTCCCTCAACTGATTAATTCCTACTTTCAATATTGGGTGATAAAAGATGACCCACAAACAGAATCTGGCCTTTATTCAAGTTAAGAACATTATGGCTACTTAATTTGAATGTTCTCAAATTCTAGATAAGCAAAGTAAATAAGTTTCTACTTACTAACCCAGGTTGAGACTATTTACACTGTAAATCATTAAATCCTTCTGTTGAGAGCTTTAATGCTCACTGGTCCCATAAGCCTCTCACTATTTGTGTTTAACAGAAGAGCAGATAATAACCACAACCCACTGCCATTTGACTCGCCCACTGCCAAAGAACACTGTGATTCTGACTCACAGTCACGTTTCTCCTTCACAGCAGGTGGTGGGTTGGAACCCATGACCTTCTGGTTAACAGCCATGTGCTTTAGCCACTTCACCAACAGGACTCCTTGCATTAGTCACGTGATGGTGTGCCATGGCGTAGGTTCTAACTCACAGCAACCCTGTGTAGGGTTTCTAAGGTTGTCAATCTTTACGGGAGCAGAAAGTCTCATCTTTCTCCTGTGGAACAGCTGGTAGTTTCAAACTGCTGACCTTGAGGGTTAGCAGCACGACTCGTAACCACTATGCTACCAGAGCTCCTTTGCATTAGTCGTAATTCCCTCCTTAAACTTCTTTGCCCTTAAGGCATTCCTTCAACTTAAATCAGCTCTTAAATTCTCAACTGCATATGTTGTTAAGTGTCCAAGTGTCGGTTCTGACTCACCTGTCCATATTCCTTTTCAAACAATAGTTAAGAAATTTCTGGAAAGAAGAGAGGTTGGGTGGTAGATTCAAATGAAAAAAGGATAAATGGTGCCCTCTAGTGTCTTTTTCAATAACAGACCACAGAAGTAAAATCCTAATTTGATGGGGAAGGCAGCTGTCCTGAAGATACTTAGTTATCATTCCTGGTCCCAAACTCTCACCTTGCTCTGCACCCCATCTCCTCCCCGAAGAAATGCTCTGCATGGGAGCTCCAATGACTTCAAAAGGAGATATGAGAGCGTGAGAAGACGGGAGGATTGGGCCAAAACATACAAGAACTGGATTACAATCTGAAGAATTTTACATTCTAAAGATAAGCACGAGCTACCATCTAGATTCTAGAATCTAAATGTCAAGGTTTGTAATTCTCAAAGCATAAATGTATTCAGAAAAGATTTCAGATAATCCAAAAATGTAAAAACCTCAGGTGATGGTGGTGCCACCATGTGGCAATGGAATCAAATCATGAGCTTAATTTAAATGTAAGGGTTCCTCATCCATAAAATTAAAAACAAAATATAAACCTAAATCTACATTTCATAATTTCAGTTCTTTCAAACCACTGAGTGTCAGTAGTTACCTTTCCCATGAAGATTACATGTGGAGATGCCCATGTATTCGATGATTTTATCTAAACTGTACTGGTGGTGGGGTTTTCTAATCCCAACTTTCTCCCTGAGAATCCCAACCCACAATGAAGAGCAATGATTTCTTTATCCCATGCATTTATTATTAATTATTTATTACTAATTGATTACAGTCCTAGTGTGACACTTTAGGATAAGAGTTGGACTACAAGGCTGGTGGTTCAAATCCACCAGTCACTCCTTGAAAACCTTATGCAGGGTTCACTAGGAGTCAGAACCAACTCAATGGCACTTAACTGCTAAAAAACACTACAGAAAAACACCCAACCTTATTAAATTCAGGATAACAGATCTCAAAACCCAACAGCTTTTCTAGTATATTAACTTTATTCACCCTGGGAAAAAAAACTATTTGAAATCTTTCTATTCAAATACCCTCCACACTCTTCTTCCCATCACAGGTGATGGACCATCTCATAAACAGAAGAACCTTTCCTATCTGCCTACCACCAAGTTTAAGAACTTACATAATGCATCTCACCCATTCTCTCTGTGGTTCCCTGTCTTCAGTACTTAGCAAAAGTTAACTCTCAACAGTTTGGTTCCAATGGGCTTCTCAAGTTTTTATCTCCAACCCTGACTACCTCAGTTTGGATAAACAATTTCTTTTATACTTGATTACAGAACTGAGAAGTCAAACTGAAACATAAAATTAGCATGTTCTAACCAAAATATTATTTAATTCCCACCTTACCCTATTTTTCTCTCGGCCACTCAGGAAGTAAAAGGTAACACCATCCACAAAACAGTTCATAGTCAAAGACAACTCAGAAGTGATTCTCCATTGTGTATCTTCACAGCTCATTTCTAAAACCAGCAGTAAATACTATCAATAGTTTCTACCTCACTCCTATCATATCATCTAATCCCCATCATTCTCGTGAAGGAACACATGCAGACTGGTCAGCTTCCTTCCATTCTTATCACCCCTAAAACATAATCCGAACAGACGGAGGAAAAACACATGCAAAGTCTTTCCCCTAGGAATAATGACCAAACATTTGACCCTGACCTACAAAGCCCTAAGGGTCCTAGGCTCCACTGTCCTTGTGTCTACCTCAAACACTCTTCCCGAACCCACTTCCTCCACAGAAATGTTTACCACTAGGAAAAAGGCCTAAATGGGGATTGTGGAGTGGGACAGGCTAGACTAAAAAGGAAATAGGTTGAAAAACAAATCCTGAGTTATTTTACAATGAACAACAGTGGCATTTTGAAATTTCTCAGGACGAAGAGTGAAAAGAGAAGCCCATTTCCTGATCACATCTACCTGGAGGCAATCAGAAAACATAAAAAACACCAAAATACACACCATCTAAGTATTAAGGCCACAGATAACTCCTGAACATGCCCAAAAAACAGAAACAGCACATGTCCAGAAATGAGATAAAGTGACTGAGGCAAATGAGCAGGAAGGAGAACTACAATGCCTGAGAAGGAATTCAGAAAAATAATTATACTATGTATCAAAACATTATACAATGGAGTTGAGAAAAATAAGGAGGAAGTCAGGAAAGCACTACAAAAACAATCAAATAAAATAGATACAGCATTGAAAATGATGCAAAACCTACAGAAAGAGGCCCAATGATTAATAATAGAATACCAGAAATGGACAATACACTGAAAGGGCAAAGGAGTAGAACTGAATAGTTAGAAGCCAGAACTATTGAGCTAAAAGATAAATCTCTCAACATTACTAAGATAGAAGAGTAATCACTATTGTTGTTGTTGTTGTTGTTGTTATGTGCCGTGGAGTTGGTTCCGACTCATAGCGACCCTGCACAGGGTTTCCGAGGCTGCTAATCTTTACAGGAGCAGAACGCCTCATCTTTCTCCCGCGGAGCAGCTGGTAGTTTCGAACTGCTGACCTTGCGGTTCGCAGCCCTATTCGTAACCACTACGCTAATCACTAAAAAGGATAAAAAAAATCTGATGGATGCCTAATATTCATTCTGGATAACACAAAGAGGAATAACTTTAAGAATTATCGGCATTCTGGAAGAGGAAGAGTCACACAAGTCCACAGAGTAGATAGTTGAAGAGGTTTTGGAAGAAAATTTTTGTAACATCCTGAAAAACGAAAACATAAGCATTCAAGAAGCTCAACAAACCCCAGAAAGGACAGACCCTGAAAGACAATCACCAAGACGTATAATAATCAAGATCTCCAAAATCAAAGATAAGGGAGGAATCCTGAAAACAGCTAGGAAAAAGAGAAGAGTAACATACAAAAGCCAGCAAATCAGATTAAGCTCAATCTCTCAACAGAAACCATGCAAGCAAAAAGACAATGGGGAGACATATATAAAAACCCTGAAAGAAAAAAAACTCCCACCCAAGAATCCTCTACCCAGATTAAGATAGACTAAGAAGAAGGCGAAGCAAACCACTTAGCAAAGCTGTCAATCAATCAAAACATTCCAGGATACACAGAAGCTAAGGGATTTTGCCAAAGCCAATTCTGCTTTGAAAAACATCCTAAAGGACGTTCTTTGGACTGAGAACAAAACAAGAACAGACAACAACCAGAGAATGACATACGTGGCAGCATCACCCTGAACTCAACTGACAAATGGAAGAATCAAGATAAAATTATAAGAAGAGAGGATCTGGGAGGTCAGTCTATGATCAAAACAATTACAATGTGAAAGAAGGTAAACAAAGAGGAATAGAGATCCAGTTGGTGGGAAGGTCTGGTAGATTATAGGATAAAATAGATTGTCTTAAATGGAGGGAAGAATTAATGTAATATAAGGTAACAACAGTGAAGCTGGGGTGGGGGCTTAGTTTGGGTGTTGGGGAGGGCAATACAAGAAGGGGGAGAAGGCAGAAGAACAAGATAGATTGAGGAACACTGAGACAGGTTTGCATGGCATAGTGGGGCAGAGGTAAATAGTGATGCTTGCTAAACTTTGGAACAAGAGGGCTTTGGGATACAGGGATCGGGGCATAGCTCCAAGAGGGGAAACAATACTAAAATGCGTGACTGTCTTATGGATATTGGTTGCCCTTGCCTGCTATTGTAAAATAGACACTTGAGTGGGATAGAAAGGAATGTTGTGAAACAAGATTACAAAAAACTTGCAAGCTCATTTTCAGCCTATAACTGACTGGAATATCTAAAAGGGGTTCTACAACTTGCCCAGTG